TTAGTTTAGAACTATGACAGTTTCTGGAGAAAGATTTATACGGAGAGAGGTGGTCTGAATGAGACACAACGTGTTTTGATATCTCGATGTGTGCATTGCCACATTAGCGGTCAATTTTTTCCTGGAGTAGACCATTGAGAGTTGGCTCGACGAGACAAATTTACGCTACCCACTTCTCCCAAGCGGCTAAATCAGCGTTTAATTTTCCCTTGGAGTACTCCGTTGACAATTTACCTATTGTGTGCAAATATGCGCTACCTACTCTTCCAAAATAGCTTAATTGTGATGCCAAAAACTTTTTTCCAATTAGTCACGAACTTTTTCACGTCGCCTCGGCCAAAGTCCCTCAGCGCTACAAAGAACAAAAGGACTGTTGTTCACTACTTAATGTGTGAAATAGAGCCGGAACAATAGACCTTTTCTTGATACGTGTAGGCAAACTGTGAGATCCCAGAATGTTCATCGAAGGTCTCCCTTGCGTGTGTTCCTAAGACAGCTTTCTCAAAGCACCTTGCGATGACAGGTGTCACATTTATTCCGCGAAAGTCTGAAATTCCCTTGGGTAAATCAACCTTCGGCAAGGGGTTCAGGTCTGACTTTTTCCAAGAGACAGGCTAGGCGTGTGTTCTAAGAGACAGATTCCAAATCCTAGTGATAACTGGAACGAATAACGCGGCGTGGTTTTTTCCATATAGTGTACGGGATACCATCTGGTCCGGTCGCTGTTTTCTTTATACGCATAAGAGAATTCAGGACTTGTCGCTCTGAGATTTCTGGGACTTCCTGGTCTTCACTAATCTCCAGAGGTGTTGGCTTCATGTAGGCGTGGTCATTACATAGGTCACCAAAGTAGTCATTTAACGCGTCGAGTTTGTCGTGGCCAAGAGATAGAGAGACCACCGGCTTGCGGCGCTGAGATGTTTTATCACTTTTTTCCACCAATCCCGATTTCCAATAGAGGCGATGAAGTCCCTTCTGTTTCCGCAAATCACTTCAGAGATCCTTTTATTCATAACTTTAAGACGGTCTTGATTACTGAGCGATATGCGTGATTTGGCTTGTATCATCGATCGAACGAGCGGAGTCATCCAGCCCGGGTCTCTTGATGACATGCGCACCGTTTTCAGAGGCATGCAGCTATCCAGGTGCCCTAGGATGGTATTTTCGAGCCTACCAACCACCTAATCGACATCAGTTTCCTGTATCACATCATCCCAGTTTTCCTTCGCTAACGCGATATACAGATCACGCTTTCTATGAGCTCTTTGGTCACACACGTATACTTTACGGCGGATAGATGGAAGCTTTATACCGGGAGGTAAAATAACTCTCATGTGATCTTGGAGAGCATGTGAAAGGGATAGCACTTTGAAAAGAGATCCGTGCAGTTCGTGAAACAATTGTCCAAACAAGAATTCCCTCTGGTAGGAAATTAACCAGAGCATTCCAGCCAGACATTTCTTCGAAGCGTTTGATATTCAATTTGTTGACATCGCCACCACACACCACAGCTGGTTAGTTCGCAGATATCATCCTCTTGCGTTTGAGTCTTACGTGAAGTCAGAGTTAGCCCAGACAGATTTAAAGTTTCGTCACCTTCACCCTCAGATGCCGTGCCAGTCGCTTCTTCTTCCTCTTGCCTACTAGTGTTCAGCTTTTCTACCGCAGACCTTGCAACAGTTTCTGGACTTTCCTTACTCCAAGCGAATATAAAGGGACTGCGTTGCGTTTTAATCTGCGATTTTTGGCGTCAGGATTGATGAAATCCTCAGGGTTGAAGTGCTCGCTGCAAATCTTCACATGCTTGTTCACATTAAATAATTGGGATTTCTTCACATTTTCGCGATCCATGTCCTCGATAAAGCCTTGTTATTGAGCGGAAGCCCATGGAAAGAAATATCTGGTCATTTATCAGAGCTATTCTCGGATTCTCAGGTGGAGCAAAAGTGCTGCATTTTTAGTATGAAATTTCCAAGTGCGAACCTAAATTTGTCTGTTTTGATTTCAACACCGATTTCAAGTCACATGATCCCCGCTCCTAAGTTAGCCCATTGTGTCTATTCTCCAAAACTCACTGAAAAAAAACAACAACAAAAAGAAGTAGAAACTCCTCTAAGAACGGAACGGTCCCTGCTTGCACATCCATTTTTCGTTCTTCGTTCTTCGTTCCTTGTTCTCCGTTCCCCGTTCCCTGTTCCTCATTTCCCGTCCCCCGTTCTCCGTCCTCCGTCCTCCGTTCTCCATTCCCCGTCCCCCGTTTTTCACGGACAAAACAAATAACCACATCCGCCTCATGTCCAATCAAACCGGATGCCACTGGTTCAACCTTCTATTTCCCTTGAGAACTACTTGGAAAATGTCAAAATGCAACTTGCAAAGATTACTGTAACTGTGCCATAAAATAATTTGTCACGCGATGAGGTCACTGCTCTAAGGCGATTAAAAAAAACCTCTGCTTTAAACCTCAAAAAAGAAGACAAAGGCACAACAACAGTCATCATGAATAAGACAGAAACAAAAGTGACAAACGATTAGTTGTGCGACTAGAAAATCGGGAGTTACAAAGCAAAACCAGTTCTATCCCGCTTGGTCATGATCCGAAGAGTAGCATTGACTGATTGACGCAACGATAGTCATTTCTTGTACGAGCTGTTCTCAACTTTAACCCTATCAAACTATCCAGAATCCTTTAAATAAGAGAGAGATATAGCATCACGTTTACGGGAAACAGCAAACATCAGGTTACCCTTTCACGTATCACGTAAATTAGCGTGAACCTTGCTGCTCTAGCTACGCCTGAGCTCACTTAATGGTGGATTTGAAGGTGCCCTTGAAAGACTCACAAGAAAAGTTTTGGTGCCCTTTTTCCGCCAATTAACTTCCACTTTGTTAGAGACTGAAGAAAATCTTAAGTACACGGTAAAGAATCTTACGTTCAGCAGTAGAAAATGACCCGTCCATACGCAAAGAGTTTCACATTCAATCTACCAGTGATCCTTGAGATGTGTTAGCCACGTGCACGATGATCTTTAATCTATCCATCAGTCAATCATTAACCTTTACACCTAGGCACTGATATTGATATTCGTATTCTCTTTATTGTGCTCTTTGCATTTCCTATGGTATGACAAGGAGAATTTGCTTGCCAATCAAGAGCCCCTCAAATTGGTGATCAATTCGTTTATTCTCATAACTTTTATGTTTAAATCAAAATTGATATGGTAGGGAGAAATTAGAAGCTAGTCACTCTTAGAGGGGGGGAGTGTCAGAGCTGAAATGTAAAATCGATTTATTTAACTAATTAGGTTGTCACTCACACCAGTCCTGGCGATCTCAAGTAGTAGAAAGTTCGAGATAGGAATTTTTGCAACCTGTTAAAATGCAGCGTTCTAAAATTTGCA